CGCTATGAGTCGCAAATGACTCGACAGCACATAACAACAACAAACAATTAAATGTTCTGGGATTCTTATTCTTTTCAGTGTTAATCCATAATTTGTTATGAGCCATATAGTCAAATGGCTTTACATAAACAAGAAAACATCTGTAGGCTGCTTTCAGCCAAGATACATCTTGATATTAGCAGTGATAGTCCTTGTTACATGGCCTCTGATTCCAGGTTGAATTTCTGGTAGTTCTCTGTCTATGTACAGTTCCAGCTATATTTTTGTAATCTTCAGAAATATTTTACTTGAATGTGATATTAATAGTATTCTATCAAAGTTTCCACACTCTGTTTAATCACTGAACACCTTGTCAATAAAGCACAAGTATACTTCTTTATGTGAGGGACTCCATTTTGTAACCAGTATGTCATTTTAAATATATATGTGGCCAGCCTGCTCCTTTAAGTTGGCAGTGTAGCTGCGTCTTAGTCTTTCGGCATTTCCGAAGTGCGCATGATCCTGCCTAGACCGCCATCGTTGAACCTCGCCTTTCCTGCCTCCTTAACTCTTCCCCTGAAAGCTCTGAATAAAACAGTTTGATCTGAATATATATATATGCCTCTAGAGCAGTAAACTGAAAGCGGTGGGGAAAGGGAGAAAAGAGCCCCCACCCAAACATCAGCCAATCCTGTATCACCCTGTTTTCGCGGGCTTTCCTTTGAATCAGCCAATCCTGTATCACCCTGTTTTCCCGGGCTTTCCTTTGAATCAGCCAATCCTGTATCACCCTGTTTTTGCGGGCTTTCCTTTGAGCCAGCCAATCCTGTATCACCCTGTTTTCGTGGGCTTTCCCCTTTAAATAGGCAGGACAGCCCAGAATCGTGGCCGCGGCCATCTTCCCTGTTGTATGGGCACGGTTTGGAACGCGGCCCGGATTCGAATCTGAAATAAATTCCCTCTTGCCCTTGCATCGGCGTCAGCTCCTTGGTGACTTGGCAGGAACTGGATTTGGGGCATAACATCTGGGGGTCGTCCGGGATCCCCCCACGACCCCAAGGACCCCTAACCGGAGGGACGAACTGCTGGCCAGACGGGTGAGTGTGTCTATCTGTGTTTTCATTCTGTACCAAACTGTTTGTGTTGTTTTCTGAATTCGGAGCAGTGAAACGTGGCTAAGGCGGACGCGCTGGGGGGCCACCACTGCGGGGGCTCGGAAGACGTTCTGAGCCCTATATCTGAGTGCTTGGGTGAGAGTAAAGAACCTCCTGCCAGACTTCTGTACGAAGAGGCGGTTGAGGTTTTTCTAAGACACCGCTCTTCACCGGTTTCAGCTTTCAAGCCTTGCTTATAGAGGAAGGCTGGAAGACTTGTCTGTTTTGCTAGGACTTTGATATTTGTCTGTCTGTGTCTTTGTCTTTACTCACTGTTGACGGACGTAATGGGACAGACTACTTCCACCCCTCTAGACCTGGTACTTGGACATTTTAAGGATGCTAGAGAGCGAGCCCGTAATCTATCGGTAGAGGTTCGTAAAGGGAAACTAACCACTTTCTGCAGCACAGAATGGCCAGCCTTTGATGTAGGATGGCCGCCAGAAGGGACTTTCGACCTTCCAACCATCACCGCCGTGGAGAAAGTTGTCTTCCAGCCACAGGGTGGACACCCTGACCAGGTCCCTTATATCACTGTCTGGAAGGATTTAGTTACTAACCCCCCTTCTTGGCTTAAATCTTTTCTTCCCCCACAGAAGGTGACCCTCATGGTGACCACAACAGAAAAATTCCGGTCAAAAAAGAATCTGAAGCCCTCTGCACCTCTTTACCCTATCCTACAGGGAGGGGCTGAGGAAAATGTTATCTTCCCTCCTCCTTATCCTCCACCACCCCAGCTGCTGGGGCCTCAGCAGAGGTCTGGGCTTCTGAGGCCTGAGGCGGGGCCTGGGCTTCTGGGGCCTGAGCCGGGGCCTGGGCTTCTGGGGCCTCAGCCAGGGCCTGGGCTGCCAGGGCTTCAGCCAGGGCCTGGGCTTCTGGGGCCTCAGCCGGGGCCTGGGCTGCCGGGGCTTCAGGCGAGGCCTGAGCCGGGGTCTGGGCTTCTGGGGCCTCGGCCAGGGCCCGGGCTGCCGGGGCTTCAGCTGAGGCCTGAGCCAGCGCCTGGGCTGCCAGGGCCTGAGCCGGGGCCTGGGCTTCTGGGGCCTGAGCCGGGGCCTGGGCTGCCGGGGCCTCGGCCGGGGCCTGGGCTGCTGGGGCCTCAGCCAGAGCCTAGATCAATGGCACCTAGACTGCCATCCAGCCCCCAGCTTCATCAGTATTGGCTACTGGTCCTGCACAAAATACCAGAGGAGCCCTTCAAAGAGGCCCCCCACCCGAAGCAGACTCTAAAGTCCTTCCTTTAAGGGCTGCAGGGCCTGTACAGGCAAATGGAGACCAGCTGTATCATTATTGGCCTTTTGCCACTAGTGATCTCTACAACTGGAAATCTCAAAATGCTCCTTTCTCCGACAATCCTAAAGAGCTGATTAACCTTCTTGAGACTGTTCTATTTACCCACCAGCCTACCTGGGACGATTGCCAGCAACTACTACAAGTACTGTTCACAACTGAAGAAAGAGAAAGAATCATTCTGGAGGCTCAGAAATTGATTCCAGGCCCCACAGGTGTCCCAACTACAATTCAAACAGCTATTGACCTTGCCTTCCCCCTCAGCCGACCCGAGTGGGACTACAACACAGCAGAAGGTAAGGAGAGACTCCGGGTCTACCGCCAGGCTCTATTGGCAGGTCTCCGAGCGGCTGCTAGATGGCCCACTTATTTGGCTAAAGTTTATGATTTAAGACAGGGAC